TGTGTCTCGTCTTTTTTATCCCCGTCTGTACCCCCTTCCCTGATTGAATTGTGAGCCGCCCTGAGTCCCCTTCGGGGAAAAGGGCGGCATATAAATGTAATCAATCAATCAATCGATCAATCTTTGGCTCTGCCCAAGACCCTCCACGCCTAGGCAATCCCGCCAGTTGACCAGGCAGCCACAGGGGCCGCCAGCAAGAACCTCACTTCCCTTAATTATTGAGGGCATCTCCTCTTGGGAGGGGTGGGAGGCTTAGCCAGCCCTGGAGCTCTTCCTCCTTCAGCCTGGAAAGCAGGGAGAGCACCCAGCCTCCCCCCCCTCCCAGGCTCCCCAGGGCTCTTCAGCAGCAGCCGCAGCTGCAGGAGGTCTTGGCAAGGCCCTTTCCATCGGCAGTGTGGAAATGGCTGCTGTCCCAACAGTCTTCCTGTCCAGCGCCGGGATTCCTGGCTGGGTGCAGGTGAGGTGGCGTCTTGCATCAGAGGTGGCCTTTGGCCAACGGCGGGGGTCTGTGTGTGTGTGTCACATTCGGCCCCTCCCCTTGGCTCACACTGTTGCCAGAAGAGGCTGCTCCAGACCCCACACCGTGTGGGGCAGGGTGAAGATTGGCCGCATGAGGTCTCAGCTCAGCCTCCAGAGGGCGCTGCACACTGGGCCTTTTTCCTCTGCGTGGGATGCTGTCCCAAGAGCCAGTTTTTGGGGTACGTGGATGCCCGCAAGAGGTGACCTCCCCTCCCCTCCATGGGGAAGCAGAGGCTTTCTCTGACCTTCCAGGAAGTCGGGGCTGAAGGCGGCTGAGGCCCAGCGGCTGCCAGGAAGCCCTCAGGGTGCCCAATCTGCTGCCAACCTTTCCAGGAGGCTCACAGCAGCTCCTCCTCCCCCCCTCCCAATGAGCCCCCCTCTAGATCCACTCACACGGCCCAGCCTCCCCAGGTCCCAGCTGCCCCATCTCAGTCTGAACGATGATGGGCAGGGCAGGGGTGCCCATTTCACAGGGCAAGATTGAGATGGAGTCCCACCTTCTGCGTTTGTGTGAACAAAGACGGGGGAAAGATGAAGTCCCCGGGGGCCACTGAAGCCCACCCTTCACACAAGACTGGCCAAACTTCAAATGTTCTCAGAAGGCGGCAATGCCGGCCCTTTGCAGGCCACTCCCCCCTTGCCCAAGCCCAGCTGCTTAGCTAGACGCTGCCCCCTCCCAGAGGACAAACACCGGTGTCCCCCGTCTCCAGAGGTCCTGGGAGAGCTTGGACAGGCTGGCAGAGGCCCTGCCCTGGAAGATCCAGAGGAGCACTCGCCCCACCACACCCCCCGGAACAGCCTGGTCTGCAGGAAGGAGATCCACCTCTGGCGGAGCGGGGGCACCTGGGCAGCGGCCCCCTCCTGCCTCTGTATGCTGACGTAGCACAGTGGTTAAATGCAGCACTGCAGGCTACTTTAGCTGACTGCAGTTCGGCTGTTCAAATCTCACCGGCTCAGGGTTGACTCAGCCTTAAGCCATTCCCACAAAGCAGGCCACACCTACAGAAGAGGTTCTAAAAAAAATTGAAACCCACCACTGG